TCACATTTTTTAGACACGGATCATAAAAACCCCAATTCGACCCAGTAGGGATACAATCATTTGAAATGTTATCAGCCTATATCATGAACACGAGTTGTAAAATTGACAATGATTTACTTAACATATAGAGGGAATTTTAATATCTGTACTTGTGATTCACATTTTTAGACCCGGATCATAAATACCCCTATTCGACCCAATAGGAATGCAATCATTTGAAATGTAATCAGCCTATATGATGAACACGAGTTGTAAAATTGACAATGATTTACTTAACATAATTAGATAAAATTAATGAGATAAAATATAATCAGATAAAATTGTATCAAAATAAATATAATCAGATAAAACTAATTAGATAAAATATAATAGATAAAGTATAATGAAATAAAAAATAACAGATAAAATAAAATCAAATATAACACATCAAACTCCTGCCGTCGGAACTCTTAAATCCGACAGGAGTTAATTTTTTTTTCAAATAAACTTTAAAAAGAATTTGGTTAAAGTTTTAAATTTAAAAGTTGGATAAATTTTTAAACATTTGGATAAACTTTCGGCCAAGCCATATTTTATTAAGCTTTCATTTAAACACCCCCCTGGTCGGAAGTGGCATATCCGACAGGAGGAAAGAGTTTTTTTTAGTTTTTTAAAACTCAAAATAAAAAACTTAACAATTTGCAAAAAAAAAAACATACTCCTAGTCGGAAGTCCCTAATCCGACAGGAGGAAAGAGTTATTTTTGGAAACCCTACCTCTAGTCGGAACACCCGGTTCCGACTCCCGTTTTTTGGTAAAACCTAGAAAAATCCCCGTATTTTGGCAACCCCAACCTCTTTTTCCCGTATTTCGGTAAAACACCCCTCATCCTGCGCTGTGAACATCGAGATTGGAAGATAGAGCAGAATGTCAATGCTTCATTCGCGATATAAGCCTCTGCAATAGATCCTTCTGGATGTGCACGATTCCTAACATATTGTAGTCCAAAGCCTCTACCAATCATTCATATAAAGAATAATAAATGAGTTTAATTAAAAAAGGAGCATGTTATATACAACAATAAAGGTATAGATTTTATTAAATAAATCTCAAATTAGTAATTCTTATATTCTTTAATTCCCATAAAGAAACAACATACATAATTAGTACATATTGACAGGTGTTTCAATATGAGCATACTCAATTTCACACACATTTGAATACTCCGTATGTGATTAAACAACTGAAAAATGAAATTCAACAAAAAGTACAATTTGGAGCTATAGTTTTACTGTCAGTACGGACACAATTTGAAGCTCAAAGTTCTCTGGTTATGCAAACGCTAAACCAGATTTTGGAGCTACAGTTTTACTGTCTGTCACGAGATTTTGAAGTGCTCCCTTTGAATTATTTTATTAGCATAAAAAAACAGATTTAATAAACCATGGAGGTCATATTAAATTTGAGTTGACCACATTTAAAAACATCAGACTTCGAAAAACGAGATGCATCAAACAATTAGCATAAAAATATATTTTAACTCAAATTATATCAGTTCATATCAGTTCTTAAACAAATGAAATTAAAATATACTTAAACAGATCATGCTATACTCTTAAATTTACTATGACATACCAGTTCAACAAAATAACAAATGACGAGTAATTGTAAAGGAGTTTAAAATCAGATATGATAGAACTCATCAATGAGGGGTGGCAGTTGATTATTTCTTTGTCAAACATATCCAAACTTAAAATTAAAGATAAAAAGATTTATTAAAGTGGGAGTACAGGATTGTGCTAAATCAAGAATGTCAAAAACCTAGAATAGAAGTCGAGAACAATGAAATAAGAATTATTATGCTCACTTTGATTTAATTTACAGGGCATAAATTAATTCTCTAGCAGCCAGCCGCTCAGCCAAGTGGCTCTCATTATTTGAGCAAATAGACAAACACATATATACATATGGAGTGCCAAAAACCACACTACCAGGCCACGTTTAATATGCAGGAAAGATCAGAAACAATACCTTTTATTTGCAACATACGTCCATCACAATCCGTTATAAATTCAAAATAAAAAAGTCTAAAATCTAAAAAAGAAATAGAATTTGAAGAATTGGTCCAATTGGAGTTTACCTGGAGCGGCTGGAGGCTGAAGGCTGGAGCCTGGAGGGAAGCGTAGAGCCGCAGTTCGCAGACTCGCAGAGGCGGACGCAGATCAGCACGTTACAGGTGAGTGGAGTGGCAGTCTGGCGGACGACGTAGGCGGCGCGGCTCACGTCTTCCTCGCAGGACGCTGGTTCACTTCGCCGCCTTCACTTCGCAGTTCGTAGGGATTGAATCGGCAATCGCAGGGCTTGAATAGAATCGACAATCGCAGGGCTTGAATAGAATCGACAATCGCAGGGCTTAGGTAAGTCGTAAGTGTTTGTTGTGTGTTGTTGGGCTTACAAGTTGGGCTCTATTTTTACTTTTCATTTTTTGCGTCGACATCCGTTGACACAAATAGAATTAAAATCTTTTAGCATTGGCAAGGCGACACAAATAACGAAATTGTACAAGGTCTGTTCGGGATTTTAATTAATGCCATTTGTGTCCACTTGTCGACGCAAAAAAGTAGTTATTTGTGTTCACTTTAGTCGACACAAAAAAGTTGGACGCAAATAACACTTTTTCTTGTAGCTCCCACAGTATAACAACCGGAGAGGGAGCGGTGGAAAACAACAATGTTTCATTTTTGAATGAGAAAACAACGATGTTAAAAAAGTAGAGTTAAGAACTAAATGACAAATACATAAAGTTTAATACGGAATAAAAACGAAAGATGTTAGGTTTGTAATATCATACAACTTTGATGACAAAAGTTATATAGTTCCATGCTCTTGATTGCTTTATTCGTTACTCCTGTTTACGTTTGGATCAACCGGCTTCACACTTTCCTTTCATTTTATTTCTTCTTTTTTCCTTCTTTTTATTTCTTCTCCTTTCTTTCTTTTTTAGTTATATCAATAATTTTTAATTACTTCTAGTGAATTTACTTACTTTTAACTTAATATCTATTCCTCTTTCATTAATAATACTCCAAGTTTTTTAATTATTTCCTAAATATTGAATGCCCAGTGTTTGAAAAAATTCCAAAGTGAATGTTCATTCTTATTTTGATGAATTATTTTATTGTTCGATGTATTTGTATAAAAACTACGTATTATAAATAAATTTTCTTAATATTTCTCATTATGTAATATACTTATAGTTGACTAATACTATTTGCAAATAATATACTTTTGAATGAGTTTCATCTAATACTTAAATGAGTATAACGCTTACGGAGAATGTGTATTGATGGTCCTAAAATGAGCACTCATAGAGCCTCTTAGAATGAGTTTTGTGTTTTTTTGAGTTAATTCCCTAAATGAGAGTAAAAGTTGATGTAATTGCAAAAATAGGAGTGTATTGTTACGTAGGAGTAAAAAGGAAGAGGTTGACAAAATTGCCCTTAATGAGCAAATTAGGTTATTTTATTAATAACACAAAATCAAATAATAAAGGAAAATATGAGAGGTCAACGTAACAGTCCACTGGCACAGAACATCCGCCACTGCCTCAACCGCCACCGCCGGCGGTGGCGGCGCCACCACCGTCGTCACCGCCGTCGCCGCCGTTGCCGCCTCCACCAGCACATGCGCCACAAGAAGCCCAATCAGTGACCCCATCTGATCTTGCCTTCAGCTGCCGCCATATCTGACGTCTTCACCGCCGCTTCATCCACAACCACCATCTCTCACTTTCATGAATAGTGCGACCTCTGGCACCGCCATCTACACCACCACTATAGATCTCAGATCTGATTTTGAATCTGGCATGACCACAGTCAATTGCCATCTTACAGTTGTAATGTCATCGTAATGATATTATTGTATCATCAAATGAGAAGTATTGTCATCTTTGTTACATTAATGTCATACCAATGAAAAACATGACACTGAAGTTGTTGTATTCTAGGAGTGATATTGCCATCTTCAAATGATACTAAAAAAATTCCAGAAAAATGTAAAGTCAATATTCAAAATCGAAAACCCAAGTTTTTTTTACTGAAATTACAATTTTAACAACATAAAAAAAAACAAAGTCAATGTCCAAAAATTAGCGATGTCAAACTACAAATTTGCTACCATAACATATTACGTGAATCTGTCAGAAATTTGGAAAAATATGAATCAATATCCAAATCAGAGAAACAAAGTTTTTAAGAAATGAAAAAGAGTGCGAGAAGATAAGACAAACCTTTTATGCTTCATAATAGACTTCATAATAGAGAAGACTTGATCAAAATAGGAGAAATTTGAATCTCGAATGAGAGAATGGAGGTTAAAGAAGGGAGATGTGGGGTTGGGAAAAAGAAAGATACTCCCTCCGTCCCGGATTTATCTTCATTCTTTCCTTTTCGGTCCGTCCCAAATTTATCTTCTTTTTCCTTTTTTGGTAAAGAATATGTGGTTCACAACCATTCTTACACATTTTCTCTCTCCTCTGCATAACTCTCCACCACACAAATCCCACTATCTTAAAACTCGTGCCCGGTCAAAACCGGAGTTAAATATGGAACGGAGGGAGTAAAAGATGGGAGAAGGAGTGTGGGCTGTCAGATGAGACGTGATGGGAGGGGAGGGAAAAGAAAGAGGGGAGAGAGAGAGAGAAAAGAAAGGGAACGGGTGAATGAGGTGATGCGGTGCGGGTACCAAAAAAATGGAGGAGTATGTTTAAAATATTAGGAAGAGTAAGATGAGAATAAAATGAAAGGAGCTTCTATTTTGAGAATAAAAAAGCATATGGTCCTATTCTTGCATTAGTCTTATATTTTAGTCCAACTTTTTTTTTGCCTCCTAACAAACGGAATAATCTGAAAAACAACTACTGAAATCCCAAAATTTATCCAAGTGGAAATGGGTGGTCCCAATTTCCCATTGAAAGCCCTATAAAGTCATAATAAAATACTCTAGATCGAAAAAAGCAGTATGCCCAACGCACAGCGTAGCAGAAAGAAAAAAACATCAGACAAAGCTTCGACTGCCTAGGATACAAGGCTGCTGTCGTTAAGAGAAAGTGAGGCGAGTTGCTCTGCAACAGGGCTGTTGAACATTCGTAAGCACTTCCATAGCCTCAGCAACTTTGGCTTTTAAAGCTTCAGGTGACTCCAGCAGATGCAAAACTTCGGTTTGGTCCATCTCAAGAAGCATCCCAGTGACCTTTGCAGCTTGCTCATGCTCCAGCTGGTCAACCAGAGGGTACAAATTCTCACCCAGCATTGAACTTCAGGTGGTGCATTTGCAAGGGCTGTAATTAATTGGTACGGGTTGTTGTCCCATGATAGGACCTTCACGGGGAAGCTAAGGGTAGTGCCAATGTCATATGGAACTGGAAGAAGACCTCCAGCAGGACTGGGTACCTCTGGCAAGTTCCTTCCAGGAGGGAACCGGTATATCCTTCCCCTTGGAAGCATCTGCTGCTGCTGTTGTTGAATCAAAGGCATTGTCTGCTGAGTTTACCTGGACGCTGGGCTTGCTGGCCCTGTTGGACCATTGGCATAGGAGCTCCTCCAGGCCTCATTCCAGGTATCCAAATCCAGCCTGGTGAGGAATCATAGCCGGTGGAGCTTGGCCATAAAACATTTGCTGGCCCATGCCTGGTGCACCTGGAGGATACATTGCCATGCGAGGAGGAGCAAGGGCTGGGGCAACTGCAACTGGTCGTACTTGAGAAAACTCTTTCTGCAACCTAGCTTCTTCTTTCTTCTTTCCGCTGAGCGAGTGCAACATAAAGTGGCTTGTTCACTACCATTTTCCCACTCATCTCAGAGAGAGCTCTAGCAGCTTCCTCAGGAGTTGAGAAGGCAACAAATCCCGAGCCTCTGCTAACTCCACCAGAATCACGGCACGAAGTTATTGTGCCTGGACAAATATCAAGGAGCAAATTTATATGTCAAAAATTTGGATGATAGCGTTGATGATGACAAGCTGAAAGAACTCTTCATTGATTCCTTTGCAGTCTGTTCAAATTCACTTCTTAATTCTTGCTCCCTTTCTGACTTTCTTTGAGCTTTTCCAACATACCATTCTTTATCATCAAATGTCTTTCCATTTAATGCTTCAACTGCTCGAGCAGCATCATCTGTGTTTTCAAAATTGACAAACCCAAAGCACCTAGACTCGCCATCTGTATCCCTCATCACCGCAGCACTAGTAATTGTCCCAAATTCACCAAAAGTTTTGTTCAGATCCTCATCTGAATAAAGTAAATGTGCATAGGAGATGTGAAATGAGCTTTTCAATTCTTTGACATTCAATAGTAGAAAACATGATATTTAATGAATATGTTTTGATGCTCAAATGAGGTTTTGAAATTTTTATATCCCATGGCAAAGTTCTAATGCATAAATGAATTTTTAAGATTTTGGATACTTAATTTGAGAATTTCAATATTCAATAACAAAAAGAAAGTGAATGAGAAGTTATGAAACAAAGATCATGCTCAATATTAGACTCCTAATACTCAACATAATAGGTATCATGGTCATTAAAAGTGTATTAATGCTCAGTTAACAGAAACCGTGATTTTTATCTCAATAGAGGATGTTTGATACTCAATGAAAATGTCATGATGTTAAACTACTAACAAACCTATGATATTCATATCAATGAACATTTTGTAAGTTACGTATGCTCATTTGGTACTGATATTATGCTCATTATTAACATCTCATATCAATGCATATTTCTAAAGTATCATATTACATTAAATTCGCATATTGAAATTCATAGGAGTGTATTATAGATATGATTTAATACATTTTTTTAAACGAAAAATGAATTAGAAGATATGAAGTAGAGATCGTGATACTCACTGTTAGCCTCCTAATACTCAATTAAATAGGTCAGATGCTCATTACAAGTATACTATTGCTCATTTAGCGGAAGCCGTGATTGTTTGCTTACATTACAAAAATGCCACCGAATTTTTTGGCCTGTATTAGTTCTTGGATTGTCTTCCTTAGTTGGGCTGGATGTACATACACCTGGATGTATGATATAGGGACTCAAGATGTTAATGAAGATGACAAAGTCACATTAAAAGACATGTCATGATTTCATTTGTCCACCTACAAGATGTACCAGAACATCACAAAACGCTTATGCATCATTGAGCTGCCCTTAGGACCAGTGATGTCAATAGCGGCGCTATAGCGCGCTATAGCGGAATAGCGGTGCGGCAGACATGGAAGCCGCTACATGGAGGGCTCCAGCGTGGCGTTTGGGTGTAGCGGCCATAGCGCCCGCTATCGCAGTGGTGCGGAGAAGCCTTTTGCGACCGCTAAAGCGGTGCGTTTTATATTAAAGAGGTTACTGCGCACGCTGGGATGGTTTTTAGCGTTTAATTTTTTAGGGGACATAGAAGGGGTAAATTAGACTTTTAAAACAAATTATTAACCTACTTGAAACCTTATACGTACGTTAAAGGCTTCTAAAAGCTCAAAACGAAGCCAACTTTTGAAATATTCAGAACCTCTGCGATGACTTCTTCTCCAAGAACGACGATCATCTATTTCTGCTGCTCTGCGATGGCTTCTTCTCCAAGAACAACACATGCTGCCCTCCTCTGCCTTCAGTAGTACTACCTTCTGCTGCAACATCTTCTTCCCCGACCTTTGCTGCAGACCAGCGGTCTTCTTTTCTTCTTCTTCTCATATAGAGTCTAGTCAGTCTACTCTCTTTTTTGACTTTTAATCTATCAAGGCTTAAACTCTTACACTAGATACTTGCTTTTGACTCAATTTTTTGACTTAAGATGTTTTAATTTTTAATAGCATCTTGTGTTTTGCTAATGAAACAAAAGAGTATTTTTAGGTTACATACACTTTTTGAATTCAAAATGTGTATGTAATGTATTATATGGAGTATATGCTTCCCGTAGTTACTTATCTATTATATTGAAAGTAGTCTAAATAGCAGTCATCCCGCTATCCGCTATACCGCTATAGCATTTTTAGGGCTCGCCGCTACGCTCCGCTATCCGGGATTGACAACACTGCGTAAGACATAGATTAGATTTCCGGGAATTCTACGTTATCTTCAATGAATCATTCTTCTTTTACCCATCCTTATACCCACATTATACCCATCTTATTTTGTCTGTGCAAAATTTGCAGACATATTTTGTCTGTGAACGGGATTCACAGACAAAAAAAGCCTTGCACAAACATGGTGGGCATAAAAGTGGGTATAAAAGTGGGTACAAACAATAGTTTTTTATCTTCAATTCATGTTCCTAAAGTTTCTTTTGTACAAAACTTCCTAAAGTTAGAATAGAATTATACTATGTAATTCAAAAAATTCCTAAAACATCCTACAAGTTCTAGGTTACATTAAATTAAAATAATATCTATGGATCATATCAGATATTTATTATACCAAACTAGGTTAGATCATATAAAATCAGATCGGAATAGAAAATTTTGGTTTAATTAAAAACATCTTTAAAGGAATCCTCTCTAAAATTTAGAACTATTACTAATAGAAACAATGGCCCTAATATTAGTATTAAGGTTTGCATTTCCAAAAGTATGACTCCTTTTAGTTTTTCCTTAAATGTGACTTTAATTAACTCCAATACACTTTCTACCTTATTCAAACGTGTGGACTCTTCTTAATTATATTTTTTCTCTCTCCATTAAAATCCAATCCCTTCCTAGTGTGAAATCCTACCCATTTTCTCAAATTCATCTCACCTTCAATTCTCACGTAGCCATAGTCTACGCGGAAACCCCGGCCGCCCAGTGCATCAACACCAACCGCCGGAATCAACTACCCACCGTTGCAGCACTCCACCACCAGAACCAGCCCCCTCCTTGCTCTCACGATGACCAGCACGCCTCACTCATCCCCACCTTCTCGCTCAACACAGTGATAGAATCTAGGTTTTGGCATAGGGACAGTGTCGCCGCCCTATGACTCTCCTCCTCCGTGTGAATCCTCATCTTTCTCCTTAATTTCGTACGTGTTGTTTGTGTTTTTTCCTTCATCCTTCTTCTCCATGTTCAACGTACAACATCATGCACTACAACTTTTTTCTATTGCCCTGGTGGAGGGTTTGAGTCACTAAGGGTTGTGGATGGGTTGTATAGTACTGGGTGGTTTTTAGTCACTAAAGAGTGTGTGAAAGAGATGAAATAGTTGATTGTGGTCATTGAGGCGCTTTGGGTTAAAGGGTGGCAACCAGTTAACGATAAAGGGGTGGATGATATGAGTTCAGGTAGTGACTAACATATTTGAATGTTTTATAGTAACTAACTGTATTTGGGGGGGGGGGGGGGGGGGTAACTAAAGATAAAGTGTGTGTGTTGGATGTGGTCACTAATGTACTTGGGACGTTTGTGATCATCGACAACGTCACCGTGTTAAGGTCATAGCGGCAGTGGCGGCACCTTTACGGCGGTAGTACTAGAATCACTTTTATTTTTGTCACTGGACACGAGTCACTGCGGTGGAGATGTTCACTAACAGAGCTTGTGATGAATTTTTATGGTGACGGGGGCTCCGGTGACTAAACTTGCAAGATTTTTGTCATTAGTGATTAGCGGCAAAGCCAATATTACCGGAATGTCACACTAAGTTAGTAACTAGAGATGAAGTCACTATTGGGTTAATGGGTTATCTGGTCATTGTGAGACCAATGACCTGATCACCCAAGAGAAACAAAATATATACAGTGACTATTACTGCCAGTCACTACAACCCGTGAGTAACAAAATAACTACACAACACCTTGGGTATAGTGACCATAACTCAAGTGAAACAATATATAGTGACTACCCTCCCTCTTTGACATGCGTTGGAACTGATTTCTGGTACCGCCTGCAATCCGCCATGGTTGAAAATGAATATGTTCAATAATTGAAAATTCCATCATTTTTGGCTTTCAGTTACAAGAATGACAATGCATTAAATGTCCCGATTTTGTAGCATGCAAACGGTTGATAGACTTCATTTCCAAATGGTAGTTTCCATAATTCAGCCAACGTGTACACAGTACTAGTCACATTATTGGAATTTCATTTTTAAATTCACTTTTTGGTCTTTAGGCCTCTATATAGTAATATTGATAATAAAAGGCCTTACTAATATGAGCAATAAATGTATTTTTAATTGGATTAATTTTTTTTAGCTTAAACATATCTAGATGCTTTTTAGAGTTATTTCAAACTATTATTTTTTATCGTTTGGAAAGTGAGAAATAAAATTTTGAACACTCTTTGTAATACATAGTTGGTGTGATATTATAAATTAACTTAAGGAATATGTATTACAAATGTAAAACAAGTATTTCACTTTTTAAAATATTATTTTTAGAATGTTTTTTCAATTTCTAAATAAAATAATTGTTGGGTTAATGGGCTCCATAGCAGATCGGCCCACTACCCTCTATGCAAGGGGATCACTAAGGCCCATCTTGGGTACTGTCCAGCAGGTCTTGGCAGATGCTCGTCCTCCGAGTCCTCGACCCAACAAGAGCCATACGACATTGTGGGATCCTCGACGTTATCCCACACCGTCCGTATGGATCCCCATGCTCACTTACTACTTAATATTTGATCCATCTTTGCTTGTTTACATTCTTAATCTACAAAACCATCCACTCGAAATCCAAAGGAATGTGTTAAGCTTTTGGGTTGAATGAATAAATCTCAACAATAATATTAAAATTTTATCTTTAAAATCAAAATGTTGTAAACAAAATTAAGTAAGAACACAATATTTAAAATTCATTTGATAAGAGAACTTTTTTCTAAAGCACAAAACAACTTTTGATGAAATGACTGAAATTTAAGGAACATTATGAAATTTAAAAATGTGTACAAGTTTTCATCCATACATTAGAGAATTAAAAAAAATGTTCGAGGTTGTGCATAAAGCAATTTCCTTCTTGGATACATATGACCCATTTTGTAACACTGAAATTGATTGAATCAGATAAATCTTCTGAAACTATGAAATTCTGGCTGAAGTGATTGCAGTAACTGAATTATTTAAAAATTGATTTTGCAAATCATTTTGGGACCAATGGAGTATATTACACTAATCTTTACCGAATCCCCAACCATTCAAATTTGAGATAACATCTTCACTTTGAGGCAATGAAGTTCCAATATTGGTGCGGAGACCAGCCTAATCGATTTTTGAATGAGGTAATAGTGTTAGTAGACTTAAGTTTATTATAAGACTCTGAAAGCTAGTACTCTGTATTAAGTAGTTAAAACGTAATAAAATTATTTGCAAATGAAATCACATGAGAAAAATATGAATATTTGGAAAATATGAATATTTTAAGCATTTTTTGTAATACGTATGTGGTGTGCTATTGTGAGGAATACTAATTATTATTAATTAACTTAAGATATACGTATTCCAAATATAAAAAAAGTATTGCACTTCAAAATATAGTAATATTTATAAGTTTATATCAGTCATAATGGTGTAAAAAGAACTTTTTTTCCGAATCCACAAAAAGAACTTTTACAAAGACAGAAATTTAAAGAAAAATTAAAAAAAAATGGACAACTTTCCATCTGCATGTTGGAGAATAAAAAATGTTCGAGGTTGCTAGAATGTGATGAGATTTTTTTCTCCCAGTTTAATCTACCTTATGGTGAGGTAAGAGCCGAGGAACACCTTACCTATTTCTTAAAAAAGTAAAAAATACATGGTAGGGGGACTGTACCAAAACCTACCAGATTTAAAGGACACAAGGGTAGGCAATTGCATCAAATTTTACAATGCCTAGAAATTTGCTGAAAGTGACATGATTGCTATGAAAAGAATTAAAGTTAAGAGAGACAAAGTGTGATGCTTCATAACAAGCTCTTTTGGAGTAGCTGAAACTAGATCGTCATCTTCAAAGATCTTTTTAAACTTCAAGTAACTGGATATAGCTTTCCACCCTGGACGTTCCTCACCTTTAAGAATCTGAATAACCTGTAATTTGTCACATTCGATAATTGCCTTAGGGTAGTTTTTTTTCCAAGAGGAAAGCTTTATGATTTATCAAAAGATCGCAAATATTCGAAGTGATATCCGAGTGGGAATGAGAGTTGGCTTGATACTTGATAATATCGCCTTGATCGTTTCTGATGATGTACCCCGAGGTGCACACACCATCTTTATCATTTCCAATGGAGATATTGATTTTAATAAAACCAGTGGGGGGCTTCTTCCAACAAACAATACAACTGTTCCGCTTATTCTTGTTCAAAACAGGATTAATACACATGATATCTTTAATCGGGGGGTTATGGGCTTTAGTGACAATCGGGTTGGCCCTACTCCCATATCTAATCTCCCTGACAAAGACAATGGCCTCAGAAACTAAAAGATTTTTATCATCAAAGAGGAACGTATTTCTACGTTTCCAAATGATCCAACAAGTATAAACCGCAACATGACAATTAAGGTTTTGAAAGGTATCATAGACATTAAACCATCTTCTTAATATAGAGTCAAAATTGTCTGATCTATGGACCGCAATATTGAGCAGCATACCAAAATGAGACCACCGTTTGAAACTAAAATCACAGGTGAAATAGCAGTGATTTCAAGTGTCAGGGTTATTACAAAAAGGGAATTTAAAGGGGCCATTAATGCCAAAATTTTTGGAGACTTTCCTAAAAAGGCAGTAATTTATTAATGACTTTCCATATAAAAAAAGAAATTTTAATTGGAATATTGATATTCCAAATGTGCATACTGTTGGGATCAATAGGTCTTTTAGGTCGTGTTTCCTCATAGACACTCTTAAAAGAGTAAGAGTCATAGGGGGTAAGAGTCCAAACCAATATGTCACTGTGCGCATTAAAATGGATCCGGGAGGCGATAATCTTATCGATGATATTAGCGGGTAGAAATAATTGAATATCTTGAAAGAAGGTAGGGTGAAGAAAAGCTTCCTTGATAGTAATTTGTGCCCGTAGCAAATTAGCATTGTTTACCAAATCTAGCAACCTACTAAATTCAGTCCAATTGGAAATCCACAAAGGGGCAGAGCCATCACAAACCACTAGTGAGGTAAATTTGTCAAAGTCATGTTTAACCATCTGTAAACCTTTCCAAAGATAAGATTTATTAGGATTTTTTAGTTTAGAAAACCAAAGACCCCATAAACCCATGCCTTTGGAGATTTTCCACCAACACTTGAGATAGAAATAATTTTGAATTGTGAAAAGATCTCTAAAACCCAACCCATTCTCTTTAACCGGATAGGTAAGATTTTTCCAGCTCCTCCAAATTTGCCTGGTTTCATAGTCCGAGTTGTACCAGAGGAATCTAGAACATTTCTGTTCAATTTTGTGTAGAATGGTTTTAGGAAGAATGATAATAGCCATATGGTAGAGACGGAGTGTGGTTAAAACCGATTTAATAAGAGTGATACGGCCACCATGAGTAAGAAATTTGTTTTTCCAGCCAACCAACTTTTGATCAATTTTGAAAAGTAAATTATCAAAATAGCAGATTTTAGCTCTTCCATGGAAAATGTTAGCCCCAAGATAAGTAAAAGGGAAGGTCCCCTTTTAAATGTTAAAAATCTTTTCAACATTTTTATAGGTTCCTATAGGAGTATTTTTCCCACAGACAAAAAAACATTTCTCAGTGTTTACTTTCTGACAAGGAAAAACCTCATAATCCCTAATAACAGAATTTAGAGCTTTGAGAGTTTCCCCCCTGCTAGAATGTGATGAGAAACACTTATAATAAAACAAAGTTAAAAAGGGTAAATTTGTTTTACATGGGTTAGATTTAATAATTATAGGGCGCACATAAAGCAATTTCCGATTTGGATGCAAAGGCTAATTTGGTAACACTGAAATTGACTGAATCGAATAAATCTACAGAAATTATGAAAATACGACTAAAGTGACTGCATTGGTTGAATTATTAAAAAATTACATTTACAATATCTTTTTAATGAATTTAAGAAAAAAATATGAAAAATACGTAAAACGGTGTTCAAGAGTAAGTCCAACCAATTCGGTTAGAAAATTACTTCGACCTGAATTGTTTTTATCATTTACCAATTCAGCGCGCGAAGTCAAAACTACGCAATTGGTTAAAAAAATGACCGATAAGCTTAAAACAAAGGTTGCCAAACGGTCTTATATAATAGGGCTATATTTGGCATTTAGAGCTGTAGATACAACCTAATGTCTGGATTAATGCCTATTATATTATTTGAATTCGAGACTATTGTCTGGAGCTAAATTTTGAAATGCTTTATCTGAACGGTTAGTTGAATTAGGTAAATTTGTTAAGAAAAAAGAGCCAAGAATGCCCAAATAATATGATCAAACCATATCAAATCAAATTAAATAAGATCAACTCAAATGGCATCATACCAGAAAAAATCAGTTCAATTTTAATTACTAAAAATTCAGTTAATTATCAATAGGGGAAGATTTAACATTAACATTTGTTGACAAAAAATCAATTTGGGATAGAGGAGTATTTTTTATTGTTTGAAAAGTGAAAAAGTAATATTTTGAGAATTCTTTGTAATGCATATATGATGTGATATTATGAGTAATATAAAGCTATTATAAATACATTGCTTCTTGCTATTAGTTGGGCGATTCTAGCAGGTTATGAAAATTAGAATTAATGAAAAACATTTTTTAGCATAGGAAAAGAACTCTGACGGAGGGGGAGACCTAGCGACGGATGCAAGTGATCACGACGGCGGCGCAGCCGCCTGGAGCTGGCGGTGGACCTCCTCAGGTCAATTCAGCATGGAATGGAACTGGAAGATCTTTCGCTGAGGTTGTGGCTAAAAGATCGGATGAGAAGCTATCTACGAAATTACCTACTCGTTTTAAAGGTGTGCCTGCTATCACCTTTCCGGATCAAGAGATTCAACAGCTAGCGTTGAAGCACAGGAAGGCGTTTATTGGATATTTCTATAGATCAAGACCTAGTATGGTGAATATGCGTAAAGCCTTCGAAATTATTGGTTTCAAAGGTAATTTCCACTTGGGGTTATTGAATCAAAAACATGTGCTTATTCGTTTTGATTTGGACGATGATTATATTCGTTGCTGGAACAAACAAACTTGGATGATTAATGGGTGTGTTATGCGAGTTACTAAGTGGACCCCAGATTTCAAGCCAAATGTGGAATCCCCTGTGATCCCAGTTTGGTTGGGGTTTGAAGAATTACCTATTCATTTGCAAGATAGAAGGGCGCTCTTTGACATTGCAGACATCATTGGGAAGCCTATGAAGATTGATGCTGCTACAGCATCCCTAGCTAGACCCTCTTTGGCTAGGGTTTTAGTTGAATTGGATTTAACCAAGGATATGCCTTCTAAAATCTGGATTCAATGTGGTAATAGTGGATTTATGCAACCTATTTTATATGAAAATAGGCCTGAATATTGCTCCAAATGCCTACACTTGGGACATTCATCTGGCAAGTGTCCTAAGAGACCCTCTGGAACTATACAAGCAGTGGAGATACACAATGAACCTAAGCAAGTGGCAGTTCAAGAAGCAATAAATAAAAAATTAACATGGGCGGAAAAGGGCAAAGACAAAGTTCATGTAAACACTGATATAGCAACTACATCTAAGGCTACAACATCTGCGGATGGCACTGAGGTGGTGGCAGTTATGACTGAGGAAGCTTTTCCTGTGGTTCAGGAACCTGCAAAAGAGGCACCGATGAGTGTGGCAAATTCTCGTGGGGATGTGGTGGTTCATGAGGACTCAGCAAACTAGGGAGGCAGAAAACAGTTAGAGGAACATCTTAAAGCTGATTTAGAGGGTATTGACTTACAACCCCCTAGAATTTATACAGACACAAAAGATGATTCTCACCTGAAGGAGCTACATCAAATGCTGGAAATGGATCTGGTATTGACTTCAAAAGAGTATCATTCAGACGGGGAGCACGATGCCAAGGTGGATTCTGAATCATGGATGTCTCTTTGGCCTGAAATCTGCACAAGGGTGGAAAATATAGTAAAGACTCAGCAGCAAAAGGAGACCCGCAGTCTGTCTAACAATCATTTACCTGAAGACCAAGAGGATGGCTTTACTAAAGTTACTAGCAGAAGGACAAAAAAGAAAGCTAAAGTGGAATCATCAACAATAACAACAAGGAATGCAGCCAAGAAGAAAGATAACCAGGGGTTCTCTCAAGCTTCCCTTCCTGGTTCTAAATGAATTGCCTCTTTTGGAATGTTAGGGGTCTGGAATCCTCCAGTTCCAAACTTAGTTCCCGAATTAAACAATGGAGGATTCAAATTCTAGTTGTTATTGAACCTATCTTAAACAGCTCTAAAGCCATTACTTTCAGAAATCAGTTTGGTTTAAATGAAGTAGTTTGTTCTGAGGTTAATTAGATCTGGATTTTCTGGGAATCTAACATGGTTAGTCTTTCAAATTTCAAATGGCATGAGCAATATGTTCATTTCATGGTGAGAATAGGCAATTTCAATGGGTGGATTACTGCAGTTTATGGGGGCCATACCTATAGTATCAGAAGGCATCTCTGGAATGACCTTTCAAATATCTGCCAGAACATGAAGGACCCTTGGTTAATAGGGGGGATTTTAACACAATTGCTGCTTTTAATGAACATCAAGGAAGAGGAACTCCAATACTTACTAGTGTGCAGGATTTCTGTAATTGCATTTCTAGGTGCAACCTTATTGATCTGCCCTACACAGGATGTAAATACACATGGACAGGGGTTAGATCAAATGGATGAGTGTGGAGAAGGTTAGATAGTTGCGTTATAAATAACAAATGCCTGGAGTTCTTTGATAATATTCAGATTAATCACTTAGCTAGCTCTCCTTCTGACCACTGTCCTATTCTGGTTCAATGCCTAAACAATGCCTTTACTGGACCTAAGGCTATTAGATTCCAAAACATGTGGTTTTCTCATTCTTCTTTTATGGAAGTTGTAAAGAAAAGCTGGCATTCCCAAAACTATGGAGGAGGTATGAGAGGTCTGGTTAAAAAATTGCAGAATCTTAAAAGAGATCTCAAAATTTGGAATCTTGAAAGATTTGGGAATATTTTTGATGATATTAAGACTTGTGAGTCTGAGGTTTTAGAAGCAGAAAAAGAGTTTGAGAATGATCCCAACCCTGAAAATAGAGAGAAGTGGTCTCATTTCAGATCTCTCTTGATGGCAAAATACAAATATGAGAGGAAATTTTGGAAACAGGAGGCTAATATTAAGTGGCTCAAGGAGGTTGATGCCAATACACATTTTTTTCATTCTTATGTTAAGATGAGGCAAAAGATGCAGACCATTAACTCCATCCAAAATACAGAAGGTGAGCCGGTGGATACTTTACCTGATATAGCTGCTGCAGCAGTACATTTTTTCAAGGATCTCTACTCTGTTGAGCCTTCTGTATCTCCTGAACAAATCCTGCAATATATACCAAAGATTGTCAATGATGAGGACAATTATATGATGACTATATTACCAGAGGAAGAGGTGGTCAAAGGTGCATTTTGGGATCTCAATTCTAAAGCGGCTCCTGGGCCAGATGGTTTTAATGGCAAGTTCTTCAAAAAATGTTGGTCTATTATTGGTACTGATGTGGTTAAAGCAGTCTAAGAGTTCGTTTTGGGTATTTCAATTCCCAAAGGGATAGCCAGTTCTTGGATCATTCTTATTCCAAAAACAGACAGACCATCATCCTTTGCAGAATTCAGGCCTATTTGTTTATCCAATTTTGTGTGTAAAATATGTACTAAAGTTTTAGCTTCTAGAATTAGTGCTATTTTACCCAAAATTATTTCAAAGGAGCAAGCTGGTTTCATGAAGGGTAGAGATATTGCAGACCAAATTCTAGTGGCACAAGAGATGATTCACTCTATTGACAAGAAGATAAGGGGTGCAAATGTGGTTGTCAAATTAGACATGGCAAAGGTTTTTGATAAGGTTTCATGGAGTTTTCTTTCTGGGATTCTTAGAAAGTTTGGATTCTCAGAACATCTTATTCATATCGTTATGAATAACCTAAGATCCACTTATCTCTCTATTCTGGTAAATGGCATTCCTCATGGTTTTTTAAGCCTCTAAGGGGGGTCAAATAGGGGGATCCCCTATCTCCTTTCTTATTCATTATTGCCTCTGAAGGGTTTTCTAGAGGGCTAAATTGGCATATGGAGCATAGAAGTATTAAACCATATTGGTTAGGAAGGCAGGGATCTCCTATTTCTCATTTAGGATTTGCAGATGACTTGCTGCTTTTCCTAAATGGTGAAATTAGATCTTTAGTCAAGCTTAAAGGATTTATTGATTCTTACCAGGCAACTTCTGGGCAAACTGTTAATTTGGATAAGAGTTCAGTGATCTGTGGGAAGGCAGCTGATAGAAGGAGAAGAAGTATCAAAAATGCCTTAAATATGAAGATTACTAATCTTCCCATGAAATATCTGGGGGTGAATCTACACAGAGGAATTAATAGATATCAGTACTGCAGTAATATTATCAAACAGTTTGAAAACAAGCTCACACCTTGGAGGCAGAAAAACTTATCTCAAGGAGGCAGGCTGGTCCTGATCAAACATGTGCTGAGTTCAATCCCCCTGCATACTTTAGCCACTGACACTCTGCCAAGAAAGGTGAAAAGAATATTAGAAAAGAAAATGTCAGATTTCTTTTAGGGTTCTTCTGTTTCTAAGAATAAATATCATTGGAAAAGATTTGCTCAATTTTGTGCCCCTACTGAAGAGGGGGGAGTGGGTATCAGATCCCTAACTGACTTGGAAAAGGCTTTCACAATTAAGCTTTGGTGGAAATGGAAAACTGGCTGCTTTATTTGGAACAACTTTATGAATGCGAGGTATCAAAGAGAAGATGGCTACATACCCAAAATTACTGATCCAGCCACCTGGAAGAGAATATGTGCTATCAACCAAATTGCGACCCCTTTGTGCTCCACTGATGATTCTGGGAACTTATATTGGAATCTCGAAAACAATGGCAAATTTTCATTCCAGTCTGCTTATAATTTCATTAGAGAGGGATCTAATACATCTTTTGTTTATAAGCATGGGAAAACTATCAAATAAGCCCCTGTACTATACCGAAAAAGTCGATTAGGCCCTCGTACTTTACAAACACTCAATTAAGTCCTCGAACTATTAAAAAACGTTCAATTAAGCCCTTTTGGTGGGTAAGTAACCGATTTCCCGGTTAAACGACGACGATGGCGACGATGTGCTCGAACCCCAGCAACGACGGCTTCCGGGAAACAGCTTACATTTAACCGAGAAACCGGTTACTTACCGACCAAAAGGGCTTAATTGAACGTTTTTTAATAGTTCGAGAACTTAATTGAATGTTTGTAAAGTACGAGGGCCTAATCGACTTTTTCGGTATAGTACGAGGGCTTATTTGATAGTTTTCCCTATAAGCATTGATGGAATAAGCAACAACAATCCAAAGTGAAATTTTTTCAGTGGAAGCTTCTTCATAACATTCTGCCCATCACCAAAAACCTGGTCAGGTTTAATTTGGTTATTAATCCTTCTATTTGTCCTATGTGCATGAAGAGTGAAGATTCTGTGGACCACTTGTTCTACCAATGCAGTACTAGTACTCCTATTTAGAAATATTTTATGAATATTTTTGGCATCCCTATTCCCAATTCTAATAGTAATATCTGTCAAGTTTTCATGTTCTGGTGGTTAAAGGCAGGTACCAAGACACTGGAGGACACATTCAAACACAATATCCCAGGAATAATTTGTTGGCATGTGTGGAAGGTGTATTCTAATCATCTATGGGGGAAGGGTAACTGTCCTACTACTTCTGGCCATCTGCTTGCTCAAATTAAGACATATGTTCAGCAATGGATTTACTCCTTGAATAATTTGAGATTAGCAAAGATGGGTGAATTATTAGTAGAGGAGGAACTGATTCCAAAGGGCTTTCGATTATCGGGCAGAAGATTTCATCTAATTAAATGGTGTAAGCCTAATAGAGGGTTAAAGTTAAATACTGATGCTTCTTACCATGGGAGTCAGGCGACCGGAGGAGCTATCATGCGCAATAACTGTGGGAAGATGATGTTTGGCATCTGCTTCCCAGTTGCCGCCTCTTCTCCATTGGAAGCCGAGCTGAAGACGTTGCTTCTTGCTATTAGTTGGGCGATTCGAGCAGGTTATGAAAATTTTCAGGTGGAATCGGATTCGTCGAGTGCTATCTCACTATTGTTGGATGAGGATGCTAGAAGATGGCGAAATGAGATTCAGGAAACCAGGCTAAGCGTACAACACAAAAATGTCTCCTTCCGACATGTTATGCGTGAGGGTAATTGGGCTGCCCATTTCCTTGCTGCTAGTGGGTCGGCCCAATTACAGATTTTTTATAATACTATGGACTTACCTATTCGGGCTAAAAGGGCTTATCTCATGGACTTCTTTGGTCTTCCTTCTTTCCGCTTCTTATAGATTGTTTTTTATTGTAAGGAAGTTTTGACCTAGTCCCCTTCCTTTTTGTATTTCATTGATTCATTAATAATATTCCGGTATATGACTCCCGGCATATACACCACTGATTTTGGTGGTTTGCCTTCCAGGATTAAAAAAAAATAAAGCTATTATAAATTAACTAAGTACATATATTCCAAATGTAAAACAAGAATTGCAATTTTGAAATCTTATTTTTGATACATTTTTCTTCAATTTCAAAATATATTAATATTAAAAATTTTATCTTAAAAGTCAAAATGTTGTAAACAGAATTAAGCAAGAAGACAATATATTTAACAAGAACTGAAATTTAAAGAACAGTAAGAAGTTGAAAAATATGTACAACTTTCCATCCGTTAGAGGTGGGCATAAAAAACCGTAACCGTATAACCGCGCCTAAAAACCGAAAAACCGTTGTTTTCCCGGTTAACCGAACCGCAATTTTTTAACTCCACGGTACGGTTAACCAACCGTGAGAATAAACGGTTCGCGGTACGGTTACGGTTTTAGAAATATGTTATTATCGGTTAACCAATAACCGGTATGTTCATGTTTGGTCATGAACTTCACGTTCTCAGAGAACTTGGAAAGATAAATATGTATCCAACACATCTAGATACATCAATTCTAATAAACATGTGAAGAAACCAAATTCTGTTTGTCACTATAGAATTTTTAATTTCATATTATTAATAATTAGTCAAAGCTTTTGTGAGTTATAATTAATTAGCCCATTCTGCAATCGTGAGACTTGAACATGTGTATTCTTTTTTTGAAGCAATTGAACACGTTTATTCTTATTAAGTGTATTTTATCTTTTCCTATATTCCACTCTCAAAATTTATTTTTCTCTTGTTTGGACTTAATTAATATAGAAAGAACATGGTGTGTGTATATATTTAATCAATGGTTTGATGGTTTTTGGTTAACCGGTTTGTGGTTAACCGAAATTTTGGTTAACCGATACTCGGTTAACCGAAGCTTTGGTTAACCGATACTCGATTAACCGAAGTAATAGGTTTCTCGGTTAACCGGAAAGTTGGTTAACCAAAACACGGTTAACCAACCACGCCCACCCCTACCATCCGTACCTTAGAGAATTAAAAAAATGTTTGAAGGTTGTTATAATGCGATGAAATGCACTTTTAATAATAAAAAAATAAAAAGGGTAAAATTGTTCTACACGGGTTATATTTAGTAATTCTAGGGGGGCATAAAGCAATTCTCTATAGAATTGTCTTCCATGGCTTACATGCGTAAAATTGTCTTACATGGGTTAGATTTAGTAAAATTGTTTGGCGTTAGATTTAGCAATTCTAGGGTAAACTAGCTATTTGGATACATACGACTAGTGTTTTTTGAAAGGTATACATGCAACTCGTTTGATAACACTGAAATTTCCTTAATCGAAAAAAACTGTTGAAATTATGAAATTCTGGCGGAAGTGGCTACATTTGCTGAATCATTAAAATATTATATAAAAATGTATTTTGTTAATCAAACTTTAAGCAAAAATACATGAGAAATAGCTAAAATGGTGTTTTACAGTATTAGTTGAATGAGGTTTATTGTTTGAACTAGAGACTGTTGTCTCGACCCGAGTTTTCAAATGTTGCATCTAAACTATTAGTTGAATGAAGTAAATCTTACGTCCCCTGGATGACGGGAAAGGGTATCCCGTTGTTTTGGGCCTTCTAGGGACATGCGTCCCCATGAGCTTGCCTCCTGTTTCCTGCCGAAGTCCTGCGAGACGTGCGTCTCGTGATGCTCCTGGGCCAAGGTACCCGCGATGCTAGGATACATACGTCCCCTGGATGATGTGGAAGGGTATCTGTTGTCTTGGGCCTTCTGGGGACGCTTGTCCCCATGAGCTTGCCTATTTTTTCCTGCCGGTCCTGCAAGACGTGCGTCTTGTGCTGCTCCTGGGCTAAGGTACCCGCGACGCTAGGATACGTACGTCCCCTTGTCCTTCTCCGAACTCCATAGGATAAGGGTTTATGGGCCAACCCCCATTGGGCCATTAACCCAACACAAGTCCCCCACTTCTAATGTTCCAAGCGCGCACGGGACATAAGGAAGTAGAATTAAATCTGGCGTACGTTGCCAGCCAATACCCTTGGCGCCTCCCAAGTCATAGGCAGAGGGGTACCTTATTAAAAACTTCGCTGAGGAAAAAACCATGTGGGAAAAAATCCTAACGGAGGAAAAAGAGTATACTCTGCCCTGCCATGAATTCCGGAGAGGGAAACGACGCCCCTGAAGTCTGCTGTATTCTGGATCTCCGGAAGTCTTGCTTTCTTTATACACTGGATCGCCGTATCCGGCCGTCTATGTAAACAGTCGTTCAGGTGGTACGTCTTCCCGTCTAGAGGGAGGGTATTCTCTGTTGTGTCTCTGGGGACGTCCGGGTTTCCTGCTTTTGGGTTTCCCTCATTTCGTTCGTCCACCTTTTCACCGCACCGGCAGCTTAAGCCCTGAGGCCGTACCGCACTGGTTTGTGTTCCGAGATGGAGAACGTTTTGTCCTCTTGAGGACGTTCGTCCACCTTCCTACCGCATCAGCAGCTTAAGCCCTGAGGCCGTACCGCACTGGTTAGTGTTCCGTTCTCCATCTCGGGGGTTTATGGGCCAACCCCCATTGGGCCATTAACCCAACAAGTTGTATACTTATATATTATATACTATAAACAATATATTATATATTAGTTACACTTTAATTAATATTAGTTAAATTTATCCTATTACTTACACACTCACACTCCCATTAATTAGTATACATTCATACATTTTTCATTAATATTACTATACTTGTTAGATTAAAATATAAAAGTAGTTCGGTTTTTAGTTAATTAAACTATTAAAGTAGTTTCATTTTTAGTTAATTTTACTACACTTGTTAGATTAAAATATAAATGTAGTTGGAATTTTAGTTAATTAAACTATTAAACTAGTTGGAATTTTAGTTATGTTTACTACACTTGTTAGATTGATTTATTAAAGTAGTTGGAATTTTAGTTAATTAAACTATTAAAGTAGTTGGAATTTAATATTTGTTACATTTTAAGCTGGAACGTGGTAGACATTCTGTAGATTTGGGTAACCTCCAACGCAACCGAAAAAAAGAGACTGGGAAGAACCATCCTAATTTGTGAGGCAAAGGTAAGGGACATGTCGGGTTTTCTTCTCAAAGCCGGGATGATTTTGAAACGGATTACCAATGAAGAGATGTGTATGCGATGTCCGACGCGCAACTAGGGTTGGACCGGGCCCGGGTCGGGACCGGGTCCGGTTCGGGCCTTGGGCGGCACTGGGTTTGGGAGTTGGAGGCCCGGGTAGGTTCCGGGACCGGGTCGGGCCCGGGTCGGGTCGGTACATATACATTTTTTAAATTTTGTTTTTCTTATTTATTCCTACTCCCCCCCCCCCCCCCCAAACACCCTCAAACCACCAAGCTAATTCTGCCTACCACCCAATCCATTCAAAAAATTTAAAAAAAAATAGCCCGGACCGGTCCTTGACCGGCCGGGCCGGTTCCAAGACAAGTGCAGCCCGTGTCCCCCCCCCCCCCCTCCCTCGAGTCGGGCCCAAGGCCAGGTCCCGGTCCCGGTCAACCAGGCCAGGCCGGTACCGCAAGGTGGCGGTCCGGTTCCGGTATCGGGCAAGTTTGACCGGTCCTGGTCCATCCATACGCGCAACTACAACAACTATTGGCCCAACAAGATGGGTGCTTTCATCAACAACATGACATCCCCGACATTGAGTAAGAGCTCGAGGATGAGGACGCGGAGGAGGATCCGACGACGGCCAAGGACGAACAAGGCTGCTCTCAAACCCCAGGCGATGACATCAACGACGAGGACGAGGTTGGTTTATCCCAACCCGGTAGAAAGGTGAATCTCTCCTTATGAAAAATAATTTTAAAAAGTGGAAGGACCCAAAAACCGATCGAGAAGCGGTACACAACTTGCAACCTTTGTAAGAAAGATATTAGCTTGGGGATTTCTAAAGGATACGGCGGCGCTAATAGGCATATTAAGGCCCGTCACCCCGTGGAGTATGTGAAATTAAAAGGCAAGGAGAAGCAAACTCAAATATCGAGGTTTGCAACTAGCCAATGCTAAAAAGTATACCAATGAGATGATGGTATCTTCTTGTGTCATAGAAAGTATGCAAGGGACCTGCTTAAGAAATTTCAGGTGGAGGAAAGTGAAACTGTGAAACCTCCTATGAACATAAGTGAGAAATTGCAAAGGGAGGATGAAACTGATAAAGCTGATGAAAGATCTTTCATGAGTCTAGTAGGAGCTTTGAACTATCTCACTCACACTAGGCCTGATCTAGCCTACAGTGTTAGTGTGATATCCAGGTACATGCACTCTCCAACCTAACAACACTTAGGTGCAGCAAAAAGAGTTCTAAAGTATGTTGCAGGGTCAGTTGAGTTTGGGCTACTTTATGAAAGTGTGAAGGCCTTCAAACTGGTTGGGCATACTGACAGTGATTGGGTAGGTTGTTTGGGTGATAGGAAGAGCACATTTGGGTCTGTGTTCAACCTTGGATCAGGAGCAATCACCTGGAGCTCCAAGAAGCAAGAAATATTTGCTTTCTCCTCTTCAGAAGCAGAGTATGTTGCATCAGGTGCAGCAGCTAGGGAGGCTATTTGGTTAAAAAAATTGTTGAAAGACTTAAGGAATGAACAAGGTGAGGCTATAGAGTTATGGTGTGACAACAAATCAGCCATTGCTATGACCAAGAACCCTGTATTCCATGCAAGGACAAAGCATATTGAAGTCTAACACCATTTCATTAGGCAACTTGTAACTGAAGGAAAGATTGCTATGAAGTTCTGTGGCACTAATCTTCAGAATGCAGACTTGTTTACAAAACCTTTGAATCAGGCCAAGCGTCAGTACTTCATGGAAAGAATAGGAATGAGCAAGCTTGGATCAAGGGGAGGTGTTGAAAGT